AAACACCCTTTTGCTTCCAAAAGGCAGTTTCCTCGGGAATAAACCATGCCAGGGCAGGACAGCTCTGGTCTGACCAGCTGCAGAAGTAGCTTAAAGAATGTGAATCCCCACCTCAGTGTGAGTTACTGGAGACCACAAACCGTGGCCTCGTCCTTGTGACCACAAATAAAAAAGAAAAAATCAAACAGCAGGGAAAGCCCAGACACCACGAGGGAGGTTGGGAACCACACCTCACCAATACATCCTTGTCTTGACTCCCAGCAGATGTTTCCTTGTCCAAGCCCCAGCAGATCAGGGAGGGCCGTGCTGGAGGGTGGCAGGTGATGAAGGTCCCTTTGCCTTCCCACGCCCGTGTCACCTGGAGAAGCTGTTTTGGTGCTGCCACCCACCGGAGCCTTGGCTGCCAGCACAGCCCAGAGCTCCTCCACCCATCTGGCCATGGTTCCCTCACTTCTTGGCCCCTTCTTACATCTTTAAAAGCAAAACCTTGAAGGCATACAGACTCTGCAGAGAGCTTTCCATATGTTTAAAGTTTCCCTTGGTCTTTGTGTTTTTTTTCCTCCTAGCACTAGCTTTTGGCTTAACTTTTATTAATGAATATTGCAGCTCAGACCATTTGGGAAGTGGTCCAAGCTGCAGGACTGCTTTGGAAAGAGCAATGAAACAGTAAAACCCCAAAGAGGGAAACTGAGGCACTGGGTATTTCACATTACTGCTTACTTTGAGGAGAAGCCACAGCCCCTCTGTTACTGCTAAGGACCAGACTGTAAAAGAATTAGGGTCAATCCATCCGCTTTCTAAGCCATGCTGAAATAAATCATTCCCTAGTTCAGGGTGTGGATGGGGAAGATGAATTTCTTTAATGCTCAAAGCCCCACGAGTCTGTTCCCAGCAGAGTTACTGATCTCCCTTAACCTGAACCCCAGAACCACGGGCAGGGGGGTGGCCTGGGCTGTGCAGTACCAGATCCTGCAGAAGTCACTGAGCTAAAGAGCAGCACTTGTGCTGCACAGTGAGGACCTCCACAACGTGAGTGTCTGGAGAGTCTCCTGGCAAAACCAAGCCAAATAAAAATGTCTTCAAGAAAAGAAATGTGTCCAGTCAGGCTCCCAAAAATGAAGTACCTGCATGAAAAGAGCACGTTGACATGCATGTGGCCAAGTAAAGGGCTCTTGTGTTTGTAAGATCTCCACTTGGACAACCAACTCTTTCTGCCAGATCACTCAGCAGAACACTCAACACTAATGCTCGGAGCAAAAACCACTACAGCAACAAAACCAAGACAGCCTGAGTGACAGCAAACACCACCTTCAGCAGATGCAAAAACCTGTGGAGTTGTTCCACATGCAGCTGTGAGCAAGGAAACCCACGATCCACGCAGCCAACTGTGAAAAGCAGGAGAGTTGCTGAACACAGCAGAGAGAGAGCCACTGCAGGATCATCATTTTAAATGTAAAGTTTTCAAATCTTTCCAGGAATTGCAATGATTTTGCAGCAGGAGCTTTGAAGCTGGTTAGGAAGCAGCGCTTTGGGGCAGGGAACGAGCTCCTGCGCTGTGCACCCAGCAGACAGAGCTGCACTGAGCAGTGATCGGACCTGAAGCCTCCAGAAACAATCTTTCCCTGGGGGTTCAACGTGCCCAGGAGAAGCAGAAGCAATCCTGCCTGGCCAACCCATCACTGCACCTGCTTGAATGAGTGCTGAGGGAGAACTAACCTCTCCCAGGAAAAGCACCGGAGAAATGTAGAGAGGAAGGGCAAGGCAGAAACATGTGCCCCAGACTTGCAGGAGGAACGAGCAGGGCAGCTTAGGAGCAGGTGGGGACAGCAGGGATGGCAGTGACACAGCCACATCTCAGCACAAGGGTGCCAGATGTCGGCCAACAACCTGCTGGCTCCATTTCCCTGGGTTTGAGGGCTCCAGACACAAAAATATCGCCCCTGGAGACCCTTCCCAGCAGAGAGAAGGCAGCATTTACCTGTTCACGGCTTTAAAATCCTCCCAGGAAACCCATCTCTCACACAACCGCAGCAGGTGCTGCTGAAGGGTGGCTGCCCAGGTTGAACTTGGTCTTCGTTAACAAAATTGGGACAGAAGAGGCAGGGAACCACAGAGAGGAGGACTCGGATTTGGGCTCAGTCTTCTGCCTGTCTGCACGGAGCCAACAAGAATCACGAGTCTTTAACGGACCAAACTTCACAGGAGAAAAGAGGGTTTAGTGCCAGCCCATCACACCATTCCCTCTCTTACCTCACACTGGGAGAGCTGGTTCTGTGCACCAGTGGGAAAACCCCCCCCCACGACCACCTCCCCACCGTCCTCTGCCCATGGAGCGTGAGGGAAGGTCACCAGCAGTGAATGGAGCTCAGCAGGTTATCAGCTGAGTTTTTGTAGTGCAAAACTGATTCTTCAAGTCACAGGGTCATGGACTGAGCCAGCCTCCCTCCCCAGGCAGATCCTGCTCTGCCATCAGGGACAGCAACTTGCATTTTCAAGCAAGAGCTGTCTACACCACAGGGAACCAGCTGGAAATTCTGCCCTCAGGCTGAGTTTTTCCAGAGCTCAGATCCAGCATCAGCCCTTAGGGAAGGTCCAGGTTTCCCTGCAAACAGACACATCCCCAGAGGCTCCTTTCTTTGCACCCTGTGTCCTACACACCAGCCCGGTGTTGATCCCTCTGAACAATCCCCCTGGATTAAAATATCTTTGTCCATCTGCTGCTGGGAAATCAGAGATCAGCAACCTCCCGTGCAAACTCCCCCCGCCTGACCCAGGCTCCCTCCACAGAGGGATCCTCTCCCCAAATTGATGTAAACAGGAATGGAAAAGACACAGCACAGGTAAAGAGCACATCTTTTGCTTTATAAAAAAAACAAAAAGACCAAATCAGACATTTAAGGCCAAGGAGTGCAAAAGAATCCCGTAAGACACCACAGGTGCACCAGCTTCAGGGACCATCAAGTTGACAGTCTTCCTCGTTGTGAGTTTTTTTTTGGGGGGAGGGGGATTTGGGGTTTTTTGAGGGGTTTTTTTGCAAGCTTAATCCATACATATTCACTCTTCATACACAGACTAAACATTAAAAATGTGTTATTGCATCCGGAATAGCGATGGGCAGCTCTTTGCAAGTCCATCCTCACCCCCTTGTCTCCAAAGCTCCAGCTCACAGACCACAGGAGCTCCGTGTCAGTGTGACCCACGCCGACGCCTCAGTGCGCAGGTTTAAGTAAACTTGTTCAAATACTTATGTACAAATCCATTCCGAAGCAGGAAGCCAAATGGGTCCATCGGTACATGTGGCATTGGGAAGGAGGTGTCAGCTCCTCTGAGAGTCCCGGGCTGGCCTTGCTTCAAGTCTCTTCTTTGCATAAATGAGGTTTTTTTCACAAACCAACAGCTTTAAAAACAAAGCAGGGAGGGGAAGCCAAATCCAGTCTCAGTCTCTCCCCTTTATATTCAAAAATCTCTCTCTGCCAGTGTCTCAAGGTGTGGTCTCGGTACTGTCCGTGATTTATGAAAGCCATGCTCTGAGATGTGAGCAGTTCACAAAAACAGGCTCTAACAGGGACTTGAACTCGTACATTTCAAAAGGCTTTGGCTGGTTAAATAAACCTGACGGCTCCTGTGAGGAATTAAATCCTTTTCCCCTCAACTCAGCCTTTTGAAGAGTCATCACAGGCTGTGAACTCAAGGCACGTTTCAGTCCAATTAAGGCACGTTGCAGTCCAATTAAGGCACAAAAACATGGTCCACACCAAAGCACAGGGCCTGTTTTGGTTACCTTCTCCCCCCAAAAAAAAAACCCCCCAACCAACAGTGGGTGTGTTTATTCTCTGGCTGGTAAATTCAACTGAGCCTTTTCTATTCATGTCCAAGGGCACCTGAATGTATAAACAAGTCTCATGGCTTCACGTGTTTACTTTATGATAAACAACCAAGTGGCAACCCCAGTAAGATACAGCTTCCTCCTGCTGCAACGCTGCAGCCCTCAAGGTCGCTTGGCACCGTGCCCTCGGGGCAGCGATAACCACATCTCTCCTGCTTCCAACTGGCTCTTAGAGAGGAGGAAAGGGAAGGAGAAGGCACTGAGTGCCCACAGGGGAAAGGCAGGACCAAGCAGTTCCTCGCAGACATGCTCAGGGGAGGCTTTCCTTTCAAAGCAAGCCACTTTTAAGGAAGTTTCTAACAAAATACTCAAACAGACCAATTCTTAATTATAAAAACCTTAAAAAAAAAATGAAGCGACTATTTCCCTCACCTGCCATAACCTGAGTTCAAGGCTTGTTCCAGCAGTCAGCGTGACAGGGAAAGGCAGAAAGCTTGGCAGATGAGCAAGGAAGAGCACACCAGTCACAGGTCAACACGTCCAACTGGTAACACCTCAGGCCCACAGCTCATATCAGACTGGCAGTGACTGCAAAGCTGATCCCCATGGTCTGCTCAGGAGGTGAGAGTGGGGCAGGCATCCAGGCATCCCACCCCCTGCAAATAGCACTATCTCAGGAGACATGCCCAGAGGCCAAGGATTAAAGGAACCACATTACCTGAACCTTCTCCTTACAGCAGGAGATGACACCACTAAGGGGCAGCAGGAAAAAGGCAGATCTGGCCACTGCAGACACCATGGATCAAGGACTTCTGGGACCAACCAGCCACTTCAAATAGAGAACTGGGTCCCTAGAGAGCCAGTACTGGCCCTTCACCTCAGCACTGGCACAAATCAGAGACACCATCCAGTTATTCCCTTCCCAAGTTAACTTCTGCAATGCCAGAAAGCCAGAACCATACAACAGATCCTCAAAGCAGGGAAAGGGCTGGGCCACTGAGGTTGTTGAAGCTAAATGTGAAGCATGGAAATCATAGAGGCACAAGTTATCTGATACTTCCTTGTCCATCTTCTCCTCCCTGGGCACACATTCCACCTCCCAAGTTCATTAGCTCCACAGTTCACTTCCTTGATGTTCTATATTGTGTCCCATCCCCCCCCCCCAAAAAAAAAAAAAAATCCAGTGAAATTCAGACAGCAGGAAAAATTTGGATTCAACAAAGGATCAGGGTAGACTGGAGGAAAAAAAAATGTGGCATAGCACACTCCATATTGGAAGAGGAGAAATCTGATTGCAGCAAAGCCTCGAAATGCCAGCCTGCTGCTTGGGTCCTTTCCCTTAACAATACACCTGAAGCAGAGGTGCCCCAGACGAGTCAGTCTCTGTGTCTTGGAAAGAAGAATCTCTGCTTGTTGGAGAGCCTTGGAGAAGAAAAAGAAGAGATGGTGACATTAGACAACGTGAACGATAGCAGCCGAGGGCCTGGCGGTTAGGCAAGCAGCTGCCACAAAAGGCTTTGTGTATCATGAGGGAGGAGAAAGCCACACAAAGCCCACGGGCAGGGAACAACCCTGCCTCTATTGTAGCCTCCATCTTCTAGGAGAGATCTGTTATTATGCAGGAGAAAACTTGTCTTTTAGCCCTGGGCTGCTCTTTGGAGTGCAGCATGCATGCTGCAAGGATCAGAGCTCAGGGGACAGCCTGTCACTCTCCCCTGCTTCCCTTTTGCACAGTTCCTTTTGTTCCCGGTATAACCCAGCTGTGACCTCAGCTGGTCACACCCCAAATACAGCCCCAAACTTTGTCACAATACCCAGAGACTGAGCGCTGTCAGGCCAAGTACTGCACATGGATGGAGAACAGTCCAAACTTGGGTTTCATTCTTTTTCAGAAGGATCCAACCAACCCAGGCACCCTTCTGAGCTCCCTTCACTCCTGAAGCTCAAGAGAACTAAACCCTTCACAGTAATCTAGGAGGGAGGTGTCAGCTCAGCCTTTGCAGATGGTGAAAGTGGAAGCCATATGCAAAATGAGAGGTTCAGGGCATCCCCCTTGCTCCTGTGATGCCTCTGCAGCTGAGACCCCTGGCCAGGTACGTTACCTGCGCTGCTGTGCCGCCTCATGTTCCTGGCTATCACATCTGCTGGTGTTTCTTCTGATATCTGCACGGCCAAATCTGGAATAAAAACCAAGAGGGTCTGAGACAGGAAAGGATGGGCAGCTATGGCAGTAAGGACGCCTGTCAGGGAAGGCACAGGGCTCTCCTTCAAAAGGCATCACCCTCAGGTAAGAGGAGAGGTAGAGTCTGATTCTTCAGACTGCTTCCACCATTGTCTCGGTAATCTGAGCTTTAGAGTCTCCAAATACCAGGAAGCAGCAGCAGCCTTACTGCTCAGCTGGGAAGCACAACAGCCACCTGGTTTCCTCCCTCACTTCTAGACATCTCCTTGCCTCCCATACTCAGCTTTTCAAGGTCTTTCTAAAGCAAACTCTTAGAACCTGTTTTGGAGGTCAGTCACTTCAGGTTGCTCTAATCAAGGAGGAAATAATCCCTGAAACAGCCACAAGGTGCTTACACTGCGGCAACAGCTTTTCCTTCCTCTTTGCAGGGATATTCACTGGCTGCTCCTCACCCCACTGTGTGCAGGAAGTCTCAGCTCCAAGGAGACACTCTCATGGTAGACTAAGGGTGGCATTAGCAAAGAGCACTGGTAGAACATGGGAAAGAGAGAGAGCACCAGCTGAGTAACTGGACATCCTCTGGCACAAGCCAGCTCATCTGGTCATACCAGTTTGACTCATGGTCTTTCTGCCTAGCTTGGAGGTGTGGAGGAAAGCCAGAATCATTGCAGTAGCAGCAGAATAAGCCCTTACATTGCTCAGCACAAACTTCACTGACAGTGAAAGATACTATCAAGGAAGCCAAAGCACAGTGACTGGTGAGAATCACAGAGTCATAGAATCGTTTAGGTTGGAAAAGATCTTCAAGATCATCGAGTCCAACCATTAGCAGAGGTCTCCAGTAATATGCAAGGATCTCCATTCACACATCCCAGGAAAATAAGCCCACTCTGAAGAGTGACATTGGCTTTCCCCCCTGCTCAATCACCTCATCTCCATGGCTTTGATAAAATAACCCTCATATTGAAGCAGTAACACCAAGGAACCCACACGTACCATCTTGGCTGATGACCATGGACTCCAGCATCGTTTCGTTACCGCTGTCTGGTGCGTTGCCTCTGCTGGACTTCTCCTCGTGGCTCTGGCTGGCTGGGATAGAAATATGGGGCCGGACCCTGCTTTTCCGGGTGCTGATGCGTATGATGCCTCGGACCAGTCTGCATTCAGCATCCTGCTCATCCAGGTTGTAGTCCTGAGTTATGCTATTGATGAGGTCTGAGATCTTGTTGGTCTTCTCCAAGAAGACAGTGTCTGAGGTGCACTTGGCCAGCTCATCGATCTGGTGGACGCTGAAGAGTTCTGTCAACTTCTTGAAGATCAGGACGTCAATCTCCCGGCTGGACATGGAACCGTTCAGCTCGCTGATGTCCAGGTCAGACTCGTGGAAGGAATAATACTCCTCTGAACTCCGGTGGCTGCTGGGGAGCGGTGCCTTTTCTATGCTGTTCCTGAAGGGCTTCTCTGGCAGCGGGTCTTTGCAGCATGAATCCAATTCCAGGTGGTGGCTGGGGCTCCTGTTTTGATAGACAGGGACGTTTTTTTTCAGTTTCACATCTGGGTAACTGAAACTGCTACCCATGCTGGACTTTTTGATCTGGTTCCCATTCTTCTCAGCAGGAGAGACGTTAGCAGGGCTGTTTGGCAGTCGTCCATTATAATCTCCATTCTTCCCATCATCAGTGGAGGTCTCAGCGGGACCCGGGTAGGGGATACAGACACTGCAGTCCTGAAAGCAGCTCCCACAGGTCACTATACAACAGAAAACAGCCTTGTATGTGTTCCAGGCCTGAGACAGGGAAGAACAGCAGAAGCTCTGGTTTGGAGGAGCCTCTGCTGTACCAGAAATAAAGGTAATTGTTTCTGCCTCTCTCCCGTTGGAATCTTTGAGGTCAGCTTTGCAACCTTTCCTATCCCGCATCTGCTGGGCTCTGGTGCGGCTCTGTTTGATTTCAGGTGTAGAGCCGCTGAACACCTCCAAACTGACATCTGTCTCCTTGGATGGTCCAGTCCGCAGGGGCACAGCCTCCCGGTAGGACTGGTTCAGCTGGTGGTGGCTGTTCAGGTTGTGGGGGAGTCTTGTTTTCCGGCCCAGCATGGCTCACCGTTCAGGCACCTGGAGAACAAGAAGGTCTCAAAGCAAAGCATTCATCACCAGTCTCACCTTGGTGAGCTGTTGGTCAACAGAGAAGGACCCGACATTCAAATTCAGTCGTTCTCAAATTCAATATTTCAATTATTTACAACAATATTTTATGTTAGGACTCACACTGTGCTCACATGTCACATAGAGAAGGGATCCAGCTTGTGTTTCAGGATTCTCTGACTACTCTAGCTTTGCTGCTTCCTTTTGGTAAATGCTTGAATGAGAAGAGAGGTGTTTTAAAAGGACTGTTTTTAAGACATCCCTGTAATCCTGTCAGACTTCAAAATCCCTGTAACCTTCAGAAGAGGTTTCCTCAAGGCAGCTGGAAGGGGAGTCAGGCTCCAGAACCGTTTTTCTGGAGTAATAAAGGAGCAGCACAGCTGAAGGTGGAGCCAGCTGATCAGCTCCAAAGGGAAAGTATCTTCTTTTAAACAACTTCCCCTTTGTCTTGCATTCCTCAGGATTAAGCTGGGCCCTGACAGCACTCATCCATTTCAAAACACACTGTGCCCAGGAGGAGATGACAAGCAATCAATCATTATGCAAGCTGCTAATTCTGACTCCACGTTATTCGATGTTATTTACATTCAGAGGATTTAGCAATGACCGCGTTACTAACACTGATGATTTTTTGCTTGTCATGTTGAGGCCGTGTTACCTTAAAGACTTGCCCATGAAAACCAATGTCTTAATCTAAATTAAAGAAGAAAAATCTCATCAATGAGTCAAACTCAAATCACTCCTTGCAGGAGCAAAACCTTTACAAAGCCCTACTACAGAAATCCCACAGCAGACCATCTGCTCAACTGTTCTTCTCCTCACCACTGTACTAACACAACTGCCCCAGGTCTGCACGCAGGAGGAAACTGTTTTCACAGGGCACTACGTCACATTTTAGCTCCACAGATCCAACATGCAGAGTGTGGCATGTTAAATCTCCTTATTATGAAGGAAACTTGGCACTGAGTGATGATGAGGAAAGTCAGGTCAAGGCTGTCACTCTCCACTTCTGTTGCTGCCACTTTTATCCCAGACCATGGTAGGGCAACTAAATTGTCCACAGCTTCTAATCTTCTTGGCTAACTCTGCTTTTACCCCCAAGAGATCCTTTTAAATACTAATTAGACTAATTAATAAGCAGTGAGAGCCCAGCTTAAGTGTTGTTGGACTGTCCCTGCTGCTCTGCTATATACTTTCTATAGGGCATCTCAAGCATGAATAAATAAATCTGTCCTACCTTATTAGAACATTGCCTCTTTTCCCCTTTTTTAAAAAAACAAATAGCCATGTTGCCTTCACAAAGGAACAGGCACAGCCTGAAAACACTCCCCAGGCAGTTACAGCACACCACTGCTTTCCAGGAATATTTTGGCTCCATTAGCTTACAAAAATCCGTAAGTAGCTCATGTCCCAGGAGCTCCCTTTGCACATTCCTGGACAAGATGTTAAATATAAAAGCCCCAGACACTCCAATTTCAGTGCTGAGCAGGCAGAGCTCCCTGGACTGAGCATCAGCAGAGAGTTTTGATTGCTTTCACTTCAAAACAACAGGGATTTATTTTTTCCTCAGCTTCACCATTTTTGTAACGCGGTTCAAAATTGAAAACCAAACCAAAAAGGTCTGAGCTGATCTAAGCACTGGACTGCTTGCTGGGATGCTTCTCATAATACTGAGGCCTCATCCAGAGATCTAACACACGCATTGCACAGTAACAATCATTTATATAACAATATATAGAATATTCTGAAATTTCAAAGCATCTTTGAAGTCAGGAAGAGCATTATTTCAGCTCTACAGAAAAACTCCTGCAGGCTCAGAGATTAAACCACTCACCCAATATTGCACAAACCCCCAACTGCATCAGGCATCAGAGACACCTCCAGCCCCAAACACCGAGCTTGTGCCCTTCCCATCACAGCTCCTGTTTCTGCAACCACTGGATCACACGTCTGAAGGGCTCCCCAGGAGCACATACAAGACACAGCTCCTCAATCCAGCGGCTTCTCCAGCACAAGCAACAGACTGGACTGAAACCCAGAGCCAGCTGCTTAACACAGCCATAAACAAAAGCCTGGACTAAAATCCACAGCCGAGTTGATACTCACAAGATTTTTAGGAGCTTTCTCTGTTCTTACGCAGGCACCGTGTGCGAAATCCTTCTAAAGAACTTCAGCATCTGCTTCAGAAGAGCCAGGAGGGATTCACAAACAGTTTGCCCATCTAAGAGTTAGCCAGGATCCAAGATCTTCATTGTTCAGAGGACAGGATTTCCTGTGAAAGTTTTAAAGAAGCTAAATTAAGTTGTGAATCTACCTAATAAAGCCACATCGGTTTGCCACTAACCATATTGTCACTGTTGTTAGAAGCTAGGGAAGTCCGAGGGTTATGTTAAGAAAGGGGCCAGAGGACCTAAATTCAGGATGTAAGATGTACATGTAGATACGATGTCTCTTAAATATATGGAAGCATGTGTAGCTGTTAAGTTTTCATAGAAGAGTTTGGTTGGAAAAGACCATGACGATCATGTAGTCCAACCATAAACTGGACACTGCCAAGTTCACCACTAAACCATGTCCCCAAGTGCCACATCTACATGTCCTTTAAATCCCTCCAGGGATGGGGACTCCACCACTGCCCTGGGCAACCCCTTCCAATGCCTCAGAACCCTTTCAGCAAAGAAATTCTTCCTCACATCCCATCTCAACTGCCCTGGCCACAACTGGAGCCCATTTCCTCTTGTCCTGTCCCTTGGTCCTTGGTTGAACAGACCCACCCCCACCTCTCTCCACCCTCCTCCAAGGGACTTGCACAGAGACACCAGGTCTCCCCTCAGCCTCCTTTTCTCCAGGCTCAACAACCCCAGTTTTCCAAGCAACCTTGCCAGGAGCCGAAAGCTCCATAAAGCTCCCAGATTCCCAACTGCTCCGCTGGCACCGGGCAGCGACAGAGACCCTGACCCTGACCACAGACCCGGCCTCTTCTCTCTGCTCCTGCCTCCCCCTCTCACCCACCCGGGACACAAACACCCCGGCCAAGGATCTGCCTGTCCCCAAACGCTTCCCTCTGCCCCCAGCCCAGAACACCCCCGGCTCCTCCTGACACCCGGGACTCTCCACCAAGTCAATACAAATCCGGCCCTTCATCCTCAAAGCACTGCGAGGGGGGAGACCCTCCCGGGCACAAACAAAGACCCCCCCTCTGCCGACCCTGGACCCCCCGATGTCCTCGAGACGGTGGGTTTTGGGGAGAAGTGGAGCTTT